TCTCCTGGTGATTGGCCCAAAGTCACCCAATCGGCTTTCGTGCCTAAAGCGGGATTAGAATTTACCATTTTCTGCTTTCATTCGTAAGGCAGGACTAGAACTCACTGTCTCCTGGTTTCTAAGCTAACACCACCACCACACCACACTGGTTCCATGTGCAGATCCAGGCACTGTGGCCTTTTGCAATTGACCGATATAAATTTGGTCAATACCCAGACTTCCCATGCACTATCCAAGATTTTTTTGGTATGGCACCCAGTATGCGAATTAACCCCTGGGACCTCCACAGCCAGTTTAGGTCACAATCTTCCAACTGTCATTTTCAGATCTTGATGCATTTTGATCTTCTCCAATTCATTTTCTTCTCTTCTACAATCCCTGGTATTTCCACATCAATTAATTACACCGATTATTGTTATTTTAAAAAACCTTTTAAAAGTCCCTTGCTTCTCCACGTTAAGCCTGTTCACAGCAACCCTGTGGAGGAATTGAGGCGAGGTGGGCCAGAGGTTAAACTTTTTAAATATTCTAAATTTAAATGGGCATCTTAATCTCCTTACAGGTGGTCCTCAACTTACGACAGTTCACTTAGTGACTGTTTGAAGTTACGATACTGAAAAAAGTGACGTGGCCATTTTTCATGCTTATGACTGTTGCCGTTTCCCTGCGATCCCATGATCAAACTTCAAATGCTTGGAAACTGACTCATATTTCCGACAGCTGCAATGTACCGGGGTCACATGATCCCCTTTTGTGACCTTCTAACCAGCCAAGTCAATGGGGAAAGCCAGATTCATGTAACAACGGGGTTACTAGCTTAACAACTGCAGCGATTCACTTAACAACGGTGGCAAAAAAAGGGGGCAAAACTCACTTAACAAATGTCTCGACACAAATTGTGGGCTCAATTTTGGTTGTAAGTCGAGGACTCCCTGTGATTCCTAATTTAACCTCCGCGCAACCGTGGAAGAAGTTTTTCCCCACGGTGACCAGATAGATGCCCGCTTAAAAAAGGGGATTGAAATCTCACTGTGTGGGAATTCTCACACCTGAAAAGTACTTGACTTTGCTTAGAAATCAAACTGCCCTGCTAATCTTATTGAAGCGTGAGATACTCACCCCTACGTGTCGACAAAAAAAACCAGGTGAAAGAGCCAAGGGCTGGGAAAAGTAAATAAAATCAAATCTTATCTTTAAAATAGGTATCGTGCATGAACCAGGTTTTCACCCAAATACGTGCAGCTTCGTGCGCACTCACCGAGCCAGGACAACCAGAGGCAATGAAAGAACAAAAGTTAAAAAAAAAAAACCAGGCACAGCTACCCTGTTTCCCTGAAAATACAACCTACCCTGAAATCCTAGCTTGATTTTTACATGTGCGCCCAATATAAGCCCTACCCCCAAAATAAACCCTAATTAAGATCCCGTCCACTCCAGAGTGCACGGATAAAAATTAAGCTAGGGTGGGGATGGAAGAGGTGGAGCTGCCCTACTACTTACCTTTGGACAGTTGTAGCCAGGCCTTGCACAGCCCAACACCCGCCTTGCCGGCCCATTTCTTCTGCCGCTGGCAAGGCTGGCAAGACTTTCCTGAAGGCCTCTGGAGCTGAGAACAAAGCTCTGGATCGATCCAGAGCTCTATTATCAGCCGCAGAGGCCTCAGGAAAGCCTTGCCGGCTGCAGTTCTTGAAGGCCTCTGACAGCGAAAAGGAGGCCGGGGGTGTCGCGCACGAGTGAGGTTAGTCAGTGGACGACATCCCCCCCAAAATAAGATCTGGTGCCTTTTTGGGTGGCCAAAAAAATTACAAGACAGGGTCTTATTTTTGGAGAAACACGGTAAAGTACATTAAGTCCTGTGTTTTTCAACTTTGGGAACCTGAAGATGGGTGGACTTCAACTCCCAGAATTCCCCCGCCAGCATGGGCTTGTGCGTTTGGCCCCTTCTGTCTGTGTTTGTAAAGGAAGAAGGGGGTGTTTCGGTAACCCCTCTTCTCTGCCAAGGAAACAGAAGGGGGGAGTCTAAGAAAAGCGGTGGGAAATTTAAGAACAGGAAGCTAAATTTAAAAACCGATAGCAACTGCTGAGACGGGAAAACTGATTTGTCCCGATGAAAGAGAAGGGAATATCTAGTTTATGAAATATTTTAAAATGCTCTATTTGGCTTTCGAAATTCGCCTTTTGAAGATGATGATATCAAGTCAGGAATATTTTTTTGTGGGGGTTTGCATTTGAAAGAGGTGAAAAGTATAGAAAGTGAAGAGAGGCGGTTTGGTGTAGTGGTTATGGCACGAGGCTGGAAAGTGTGAGATGGAGAGTTCTAGTCCCACCTTAGGCATGACAGCCAATTGGGTGACTTTGGGCCAATCATCAGGAGTGAGTTCTAGTCCCACCTTAGGCAGGAAAGCTAGTTGGGTGATTTTAGGCCAATCAGCAAGAGACTGTGAATTCTAGTCCCACCTTAGGCATGACAGCCAGTTGAGTGACTTTGGACCAATCACCAGGAGACGGTGAGTTCTAGTCCCGCCTTAGGCATGACAGCCAATTGGGCCATCCCTCTCTCTACCCACCTCACAAGGTTGTCGTTATGGGGAAAATAGGAGGAGGAATGTGTGTTGGATATATTCGCTGCCTTGAGTTATTTGTAAAATAAAAGACGGGATACAAATAAATAAATATTTGCCAGTATTTTATAAATAACCTGAGAAGATTATTTGTTGATAGAGCTGTCGGAGTTGGTGAAACCAATCGCTCTAATTAAAGAAAACAGGTGCGTTTCCACTGGGAAACCCACTCCTGGATTTTGTATTACAAACTGGGGGGGGGAAATGAAACTTTGATTTTAGATTTTGAGGACCAGAATAATTTTATTGTCATAGAAACAGCTCAAAACCTTTAGCAATGTACAGCCAAAGGTTGAGGTTGTAACTTATTTTTATATTTTATTGCACACAAAAAAGTTGGAAGTCATATTATTATATTATATTAACTATATTAATTATATTATATTATATTAATTATATTATATTATATTAATTATATTATATTATATTATATTATATTATATTATATTATATTATATTAATTATATTATATTATATTATATTATATTATTATATTATAATTTATTAGATTTATGTGCTGCCCTCATCTGCCAATTTTTCCCCTTTCTGCACTTTTTTCCTTCTTTTCAAAACTTTCTTCTTTAACTTTCTCCATTTTTGCTCATATTCGTATTTCTCTAGTTTTGTTGCTATTCCTATGATCGACTTGAATAAAATACACTGCTCAAAAAAATAAAGGGAACACTTGAACAACACAATGTAACTCCAAGTCAATCACACTTCTGTGAAATCAAACTGTCCACTTAGGTAGCAACACTGATTGACAATCAATTTCACATGCTGTTGTGCAAATGGAATAGACAACAGGTGGAAAGCACAGGCAGGTAGCAAGACATCCCCAATAAAGGAGCGGTTCTGCAGGTGGTGACCACAGACCACTTCTCAGTTCCTACGCTTTCTGGCTGATGGTTTGGTCACTTTTGAATGCTGGCGGTGCTTTCACTCTAGTGGTAGCATGAGACGGAGTCTACAACCCACACAAGTGGCTCAGGTAGTGCAGCTCATCCAGGATGGCACATCAATGCGAGCTGTGGCAAGAAGGTTTGCTGTGTCTGTCAGCGTAGTGTCCAGAGCATGGAGGCACTACCAGGAGACAGGCCAGTACATCAGGAGACGTGGAGGAGGCCGTAGGGGGGCAACAACCCAGCATCAGGACCGCTAACTCCGCCTTTGTGCAAGGAGAGATAGGAGGAGCACTGCCAGAGCCCTGCAAAATGACCTCCAGCGGGCCACAAATGTGCATGTGGCTGCTCAAACGGTCAGAAACAGACTCCATGAGGGTGGTATGAGGGCCCGACGTCCACAGGTGGGGGTTGTGCTTACAGCCCAACACCGTGCAGGACATTTGGCATTTGCCAGAGAACACCAAGATTGGCAAATTCGCCACTGGCGCCCTGTGCTCTTCACAGATGAAAGCAGGTTCACACTGAGCACATGTGACAGACATGACAGGGTCTGGAGACGCCGTGGAGAACGTTCTGCTGCCTGCAATATCCTCCAGCATGACCGGTTTGGCAGTGGGTCGGTAATGGTGTGGGGTGGCATTTCTTTAGGGGGCCGCACAGCCCTCCATGTGTTCGCCAGAGGTAGCCTGACTGCCATTAGGTACCGAGATGAGATCCTCAGACCCCTTGTGAGACCATATGCTGGTGCGGTTGGCCCTGGGTTCCTCCTAATGCACGACAATGCTAGACCTCATGTGGCTGGAGTGTGTCAGCAGTTCCTGCAAGACGAAGGCATTGATGCTATGGACTGGCCCGCCCGTTCCCCAGATCTGAATCCAATTGAGCACATCTGGGACATCATGTCTGGCTCCATCCACCAACGCCACGTTGCACCACAGACGGTCCAGGAGTTGGGGGATGCTTTAGTCCAGGTGTGGGAGGAGATCCCTCAGGAGACCATCCGCCACCTCATCAGGAGCATGCCCAGGCGTTCTAGGGAGGTCATACAGGCACATGGAGGCCACACACACTGCTGAGCCTCATTTTGACTTGTTTTAAGGACATTACATCAAAGTTGGATCAGCCTGTAGTGTTTTTTTCCACTTTAATTTTGAGTGTAACTCCACATCCAGACCTCCATGGGTTGCTAAATTTGATTTCCATTGATCATTTTTGTGTGATTTTGTTGTCAGCACATTCAATTATGTAATGAACAAAGTATTTAATAAGAATATTTCATTCATTCAGATCTAGGATGTCTTATTTTTGTGTTCCCTTTATTTTTTTGAGCAGTGTAGTTAAAAAACAGAGGAACTAAATACAAAACTCAAACTTTACAAACCCAAGCTCTCTTTCACTCAAAACCTTCCGTATTTGTCTCCCTTTCCTTTTGGCAGACAACCCCGTGTTCGCACCCCACCCACCAAACACACACACAATTAAAAAAAAAAAAAAAGCTTTCAGGCATGGGGACAATTCCCTCGGGAAGGAGTGTCAATCTAGCAAATGTTACACCCTTTCCTGGGTTTGAACGTGACAATCATCCTCTTTTTTTTTTTAAAGCCTCCAAACCCCAATTCTCAAGTTTCAAGTTTTCTCAGCAACTGTGACAGCTTCCCAGGAGCACAAAAAGGGAAGGGTTTGAAACAAGAAAGGAACTGAGCATTTCTCTCCACACCCCTCAATAAGACTGGGCCCCTTTTCTACATAAAAATAGCTCCTTAAAAGATAAGTGAGAAGAAATTATTTCCGAAATAATAACTATGTTCTAAGCCAGTGATGGCTAACCTATGACACGCGTGTCACTCGTGACACGCCGAGGCACTTTGACTGACACGCCTGTTGGTGTGGGGAAAACCTGCACATTTAGAGGCTGCCTGTGCTCTGCTCCAATCCCTGCACCCTGCTTGTGGCGTGGTGTCACCGCTGCCGCAAGATCTTTGCAGCAGAGAACCAGTTTTAACCGCCATAAACTGAGGATTGTCAGTTTCATTACCTCAGGAACGCTACAGGAGGAAAGGAGATCCATGAGGTTCACAGCCCTGTAAGGTGGCCTTCCGATCCCCACATCCTGCACCTGCAGCCCTGAGACCAGGCGGACGAGTTTCACAGCCCTGTGTGATCACCCCAGCCCAGTCCGTCATAAACCAAATTACTGATATTTCTTGAAGTGACACACGACCCGAGGAAGGCTACACTTTTCCCCGATTTTCGACACACCAAGCTGAAAAGGTTAGCCATCACTGTTCTAAGCCAAGGAGCAGCAGGCAAAAACCAAGGGTGCAGAATTGGTTAAATTTCTGCACGGAGCGTGGAGTGGGTTGGATAAAGACACCCGCCCCCCCAAAAAAAATCAAGGTTGGGCTGCGACCGGTTCGCCCCAGTTTGGGTGAACCGGTTGCTAATTTTATGGCCGGTTCGGCGAACCAGCAAATTCCCACCCCTGGCTGGCCCCGCCCACCCTGCCCTCCCCTCCCTTCATGTGGCCCCTTTTGGATGCAAGGCAAGTGCAGGGCCCACTCGGAGGGTCGGGGAGAGCAAAAAACGGGCCTCCGGGAGCTGCCGGAAGGCCGGAAACAGGCCCGTTTCTGGCCTCAGGAGCTCGGGGGGCCTCAGGAGCCTGGGGGGGGGCAGTTTTTCCCCTCCGGAGGCTCGAGGAAAACCTTTGGAGCCCCGGGAGGACAAAAATGCCCCCCCTCCCACCGTGGTGCAGAAGGCCGCCTAGGCCACGCCCACCATGGCCACGCCCACCCAGCAACCGGGCAGAGAACCGGTTGCTAAAATTTTCGAAGCCCGTCCCTGCCCCGAATCCTTCTGAAATCCCTTAAACGTTTTACTTTGCTCATGGCGGTGAGGGCCGGATCACAAGCGCCGTCCAAATCCTGTACCAGAAGCTGGATGCTGCTGGAAATCACTCTGAAAGAAGAGGGAGAAAAAGGCACCGGTTTTAGTTTTGGTGCCAGACCAACAGTGATGCAGTAAACAAGATGCCACAAATTAAGACACCACAAATTCGGACCATCAAAAACAACCGTCTCATCAAGTATTTTGGTATTTCCTTGGTAATCAAGGAAATAGCCAAGGAGGAAAACACACTCCTACCAACGACAGGACAAGCCGCTACAGATGTGTATGAACAGAGAGGAAATCCTGCACCCTTCTAGCCCTGATGCTGTTACCTAGTTGGGTCATGAGATGTCTAGAACAAAACGAACAAGCTCGGAGGGCACCTAAGGTCCCACAGTCCTCCTCTTTCTCTTCCTCCTCTCTTATGGGTGACTGTGAGTCATAATCCTGCCTTTGCCATAAAAGCCAGCTGGGAGACTATGGGCCAATCACCAGGAGACGGTGAGTTCTAGTACCACCTCAGGCATGAAAGTCAATTGGGAGACTTTGAGCCAATCACCAGGAGACGGTGAGTTCTAGTACCACCTCAGGCATGAAAGCCAATTGGGAGATTATGGGCCAATCACCAGGAGACTGTGAGTTCTAGTACCACCTCAGGCATGAAAGCCGGCTGGGAGACTTTGAGCCAATCACCAGGAGACGGTGAGTTCTAGTACCACCTCAGGCATGGCATGGAAGTCAATTGGGAGACTTTGAGCCAATCACCAGGAGACGGTGAGTTCCATTTCAGCGTTAGGCATGAAAGCTAGCCGGGGGACTTTGGGCGAGTCACTTTCTCTCAGCTCAACCCACCTCACAAGATCGTTGTGGGGAAAACAGACAGAGGAAGGAATATTAAGTTTGTTCGGCACCTTGATGTTTTTGTAAAAACCATAAGGAATAGGAATCAAACGCATAAATTAAATTAATTATCCTGCCCCTGGGGACTTACGTGCTGAAGGTATCCATCTCTCCCATCAGGGTGATTCTTTCAACCAAGCTGTCATCCACTTTCTCCTTGAGCTTTTCTTCGAGCTGGAAGAGCAGGGAAGAAATTATTCTGCAATGCCGGTCCCTAAACACTGATGATGTCACCTAGTTGGGTTATAAACATCTACAAGAAAACAGCCATGTGCGGAAATGGACGGACTAACGCTAAAATTAAAAAATAAAGGAGATACAAAATGCTTTTTAACACGGAATAGGTTTTATCAGTGGTTTAGAAACACGAGGTAGAAGTTGGAAAACGAAAGAATCAGGTTAGGTGGACATGGAAAGAGATATGATTTTTAATACCGATTTAGGAATGTAAGTTCCTTCTTGGCTTCTAGGTGCTCACTAAGAAAAGATTTTTTGAAATGACCATCAGAGCACTAGTATTTTGTATATTATTTTTAACACGCTCTGATGCTAAGGAGTTCTACTCCCGGTCCCCACCTGAAAAGAAATCTCTTCCAAATGAAAAACACAAGCAGAGGAGTTTCAGTTTCAGTTTCACAGCACCAAGCAGCTTTAGTACAGAACTGTTGAGCTAAGCCACGCCCAGGCTCCTTGCTGTCTCCTTGCTCACACAGCAAATACTGTTTCAGTTTCCAAACAGCCCTCAACTCTCCCACACACTGACAGGAGGCTAGCCAGATGAATACCGACGGCTGCTGGTAGGCAGAGGCAGAATTTATTTTTCCTTATTTTCCTCCCCAAAAACTGAGCCCGACCACATAGTTTCCGTAGCGAAGCATGGGTATCAGCTAGTCTATATTAAAATAATCTCCCCCAAATTTGCAACTGCCCTTCTTTGCCTTTTAAGCATACTGACTTGTAAGTCAGGGTTCTTTCATTTCATTACCCAAGAGCTATGAGGGTTAGAAACTTATATAAATTACAAAAATAACCTGATATACATGTATTAGAAATTAGTATGCATCAATCCATCGATTTATTTATTGTTTTGACCACAAGACGTAACAAGATAAAAACCTGCCAAATGTTGATAATATATGTTGAAATGTACAAAAACGAGTAAAAACTTTGAAAGTGTTGGAAAAGCTATAAAACGTTTGGAATCATTGATAAAATATTCTGTTTAGGAACAGCCTTGTTGATATCCCCAACAATGCCTCCTTGTCTAATTTACATATACTTACTTGGATATTGATATTATTTATGCTACATTGTATATAGAATTTTCACTATTAACTGTCATAATGGTAGATTATTATTTTTCTTGCATTTTTTCCACTTTTCAAGCACGTTGTGCATTTTTTTTCTTTCAGAATGTATTTCCATCCCAATTATTTTTCTCCTCGTGCGTTTTTTTTCCTTTTTCTATTATTATCTAAAAGCATTTTTTTTTAAAAAAAATAAAAGAGTGCTTGAAACGTGATGGTTTCCTTTTGCAGATGAAATGGTATTTCAGCACTCTTTTTGACCTTAGGAAATGAGGCCATGGAACAAGACTAGATAGTAATAGCAATAACACTTATATACTGCTTCTCAGAGCTTTGCAGCCTTCTCTAAACTGTTTACAGAGTCAGCCTCTTGTCCCCAACAATCTGGGTCCTCACTTTACCGACCTCGGAAGGACGGAAGGCTGAATCAACCATGAGCCGGTGAGGATCAAACCTCTGACAGTCGGCAGAATTAGCCTGCAATACCGCATTCTAACCAGTGCGCCACCATGCCTCTTATAAAAAGCTGTGATACCACCATCAAAGGTGGTATGGTATCCCTCCCTTTTCCACCCAAAGTCAGAACTGGCATGTTGCAAAGCCCCAGGGATCTGTCTCGGAGGATGGTTGAAGTGTCCTTACCTGTTGGGTGGTCGCCAAACAATATTCGGCCGTGCTCAGAATGCTGCAGATCAGGCAAAGCTCCTCTAAGGTGAATTTGGCCACCTCCGAACCGTCCTTCTCTTTTAGTAAGCTGGTGATGGTCAGGCCGCTGCTGCTGGTGTTTGTCGTCCTGTTGTGGTCGCAAACAAAAATAATAATTTATCCAACCTGCATGCCGCACGACTCCCGATCGCTCTGCATCAGGGGTGTCAAACTCGATTTCATTGAGGGTCACATCAGGGTTATGTTTGACCTCAGGGGGCCAGGGTGGGCATGGCCAGGGTGGGTGTGGCCAGCATGTCACTCATGTCGGGGGGGGTGCCTATGGTGGTCTGAGATCTCTGCCAGTGAAAAAGGCTCCCGAGCTTCTTTTTCGGCTGCGACAGCCTCCTGCAACCCTCTGTCAATGAGAACAGAGCTCGGGGAGGTCCACACGTGGCCTGAGCAAGCTCCATTTTCGGCTAGGATGGCCTCCTGCAACCCTCTGCCAGACAAAATGCTGGCAGAGGCATCGTGGGCCAGTCTTCTGCTGTTCCCAGGGTGGCCCCGCGGTCAGATCTAAGTACTCCATGGGCCGGATCTGGCCCCCAGGCCTTGAATTTGACACCCCTGCTCTAGATGTCAGGGTTCCAAGTAATACACCCATAGCAAAGAGAACTCCGAGGCAGATGGATTCCTCAAAGAAGAGTTTTATTGGACGTATCATATTGACACAGACTGGTAAAAACCGACTCTGAAAGTTTCCACAATTTTCACGTAATTAAAAGTTTTCCCCCTTTCCCAAACCATCAGTCACATGGTCCAATCAAAGTGCCATCCGGTTGCTCTCTCCAGTCACCTGTGGGAATGTCCTTGGTTCCCAGGAGTAAGTATTTTGTTTTGGCTACAAAACCCCAGCTATTTCTATTCCCCCCTCTCTATCTCTCAGCTCCAGTATGGCAACACTGAAGCCTCAAAATGGCTTCTGTCAGGTCAGCTTCAGGGTAGACACTAGATGGGAATCGCAACATCAAAAACACTGCGGGTCGGTCATCCTCGAATTATGATCTTACGACAGTCATATTAGCTTAACACTCTGTTGAACACCTAATTCTCACAGTGCTGTCTAATGGCTATATGTAGTTACCCAGGTAGTGAGACTGTAGTAATATTATTTATCCTTCTTATCTTCTTTATTACCCTTTTTATTGGTATTATTATTATTATTTTATTCTGTTGCTTTTTGTGTACACTGTGAGCTTCTACACCGGGCACAATTTTCTTGTGCATCTAATTACACTTGGCCAAATAAAGTACAAGTAGTCCTTGGCTTAACACCCCAATTGAGCCCAACATTTCTGTTGCTAAGTGAGAAATTTGTGAGGTGAATTTCACTCCATTTGACCACCTTTCTTGCCACATTTATGAAGTGAATAACTGTTCTGACCTAAACCCTTGTCCAATAAAACAAACACAAACCAAAGAGAACAGAAACCTTTTAATGATTCTTACGAATCCCCGGTTAAAAGGCTGCTTATCACTAATTAACTTAGATAAGCACGAGCCTCACCAAAACTGTGCAAGGCTGCCAAGAATAACAGATAAAGTTACCTAGAAATAAGTTACCTAATGCTGACATGTTGCTCCTAATAAATCTTTTGAATTCTTTTGAAGCTTGGCTCGAAGCTCATGATTTAATTAGGGCAATCGCCGGAACCCTGACATCAAAACTCACTTGGGTAAATTTCCGGAGAGGATCTTCCAGGCGTATTCCCGCAGGTATTTCTGGAATATGGTAGTCAGGGCGATCATGGGCTCCCCGGTGCTTAGCTGCGAGCACTGGACCATGCATTTCTTGTAATAGACAAAGAGGTCGGCGCAGCTGGGCAGAACGGCCCCGCCCTCATCCACGTTTGGCTTGGGGGGTCCCTGGGCTTTGAAGTCCCCCACGAAGCGGTCAATCAACTCTCCGAGGTTTCTGATGACCCACGAAAGCAAAAACACAATGTGTTTAGGAAACATCTATATATATATAAAAGCGAAATGCCACGGACCCATCATCACAAAATCTCCAGAACCATAAAGCCTACAAACTTGAAATTTGGTAGGTTCCTCTTGGCTTCTAGGGGCTCGCTAAGAAAGGATTGTTCGAAATGACCATCAGAGCTATTAGTATTTCCTATATTGTTATTATTAACACGCTCTGATGTTAAGGAGTTCTACTCCCCTTCCCCACCTGAAAAGAAATCTGTTCCAAATGCAAAACACAAGCAGAGGAGTTTCAGTTTCAGAGCACCAAGCAGTTTTAGTACAGAACAGTTGAGCTAAGCCACGCCCAGGCTCCTTGCCGTCTCCTCCTTGCTCACTCAGCAAATACTGTTTCAGTTTCCAAACAGCCCTCAACTCTCTCACACACTAACAAAATGCTAGCCAGATGAATACCGATGGATGTTGGTAGGCACAGGCAGAATTTATTTTTCCTTATTTTCCTCCCCAAAAACTAAGCCCGACCACATAGTTTTGTAGCAAAGCACGGGTATCGAGCTACTACAGTATATGGTTAGGACTTAGGAGAAAATCCCACCCCTATCCCATTGATGCATTTGTCCCTTTTTATCCTTTTTATATTTGCTAACTTTTAGTGTTTCACTGCCCAATGTTTTTAATGTTCTGATTGTTTTATTCTGTACTTCTATGAAGTCATACGTGTTCTGACCCAGCTCCCCAAACACAACAAACCCTCTGAAGTTAATTCAAAAGATTCTTTTATTAGGAGCGCCAGCAGCCCCGGCAAAAGTTTCTCTCTCACCGCAGGCTAAGAAGTCCATCCGGCAGGGAGGTGGCCTGCCACACCTATTCATCTCCGCCCCCTGCCTTTTATCCCCAGAACTAGGGTGGAGGCTTCGCTAGCAGCGGTGGCTCTTCCGTCCCAAGGACCGGCCCATAGATTTCCACTGCTCTCCTCTCCTCTGCCTTTTGCGCATCTGCATGTCAGGCACTGGACCCAGCTGTTCCTCCTGTTCCTCATCAGCCACCTCCAGACCTGGAGGCTGTTCATATTCTATTCTATTCTATTCTATTCTATTTTCTCTTCTCTTATTTTCTATTCTGTTCTATTCTATTCTATTCTATTTTCTATTCCATTCTATTTTCTCTTCTCTTCTCTTCTCTTCTATTTTCTCTTCTCTTCTTTTCTTTTCTCTTCTCTTCTCTTCTATTTTCTATTCTCTTCTCTTCTATTTTCTCTTCTCTTCTATTTTCTCTTCTCTTCTTTTCTCTTCTCTTCTCTTCTATTTTCTATTCTGTCCTATTCTATTCTATTTTCTATTCTATTCTATTCTATTTTCTCTTCTCTTCTCTTTTCTCTTCTCTTCTCTTCTATTTTCTCTTCTCTTCTCTTCTCTTCTCTTCTATTTTCTCTTCTCTTCTATTTTCTCTTCTCTTCTCTTCTATTTTCTCTTCTCTTCTTTTCTCTTCTCTTCTCTTCTCTTCTATTTTCTATTCTGTCCTATTCTATTCTATTTTCTATTCTATTCTATTCTATTCTATTCTATTCTATTCTATTTTCTCTTCTCTTCTATTTTCTCTTCTGTTCTCTTCTCTTCTATTTTCTCTTCTGTTCTATTCTATTCTGTTCTCTTCTATTTTCTATTCTGTTCTATTCTATTCTATTCTATTCTATTCTATTCTATTTTCTATTCTGTTCTATTCTGTTTTATTCTATATCCCGTTCCATCCCATTCTATTTAAATTCTATTCCTATATCCTTCTACTCTATTCTATTGTACCTTATGACTATTGTTAAGTGTTGCACCTTATGATTCTTGACGCTTGACAGATGTATCTTTTCTTTTATGTACACTGAGAGCATTTGCACTAAGACAAATTCCTTGTGTGTCCAATCACACTTGGCCAATAAAAGAATTCTATATTCTATTCTATCCTAATTTCTTCTATTCTATTCTATTCTAATTTCTATTCTATTCTAATTTCTATTCTATTCTATTCTATTCTATTCTATTCTATTCTATTCTATTCTATTCTATTCTATTCTATTCTATGCCATTCCATATATTCTATTCTATTCCATTCCCAATAAAGTATTCTATTCTATTCTATTCTATTCTATTCTATTCTATTCTATTCTAATTTTCTCTTCTCTTCTCTTCTCTTCTCTTCTCTTCTCTTCTATTCTATTTTCTATTCTATTCTATTCTATTCTATTCTATTCTATTCTATTCTATATCCCGTTCCATCCCATTCTATTTAAATTCTATTCCTATATCCTTCTACTCTATTCTATTGTACCTTATGACTATTATTAAGTGTTGCGCCTTATGATTCTTGACGCTTGACAGATGTATCTTTTCTTTTATGTACACTGAGAGCATTTGCACCAAGACAAACTCCTTGTGTGTCCAATCACGCTTGGCCAATAAAAGAATTCTAACTCTTAACTCTAAATGAACTGTTGTAGGTAGGGGACCACTTGAAGCATTTTGTCAATTCTTCTCAAACTCTTATGTCTAGGTTTATTTTTTTTATTTTTTAAATGAGCCATGCTTTCTGATCCGGCTGTGTCCCCCCACATCCCCCCCACCATGGAAACAATTGTCACTCACCTGTCCTGAGATTCAATGTAGACATACAGATGGGGCTCAAAGCACTTGGAAACAATCCCATGGAACGGATTATTTGGAATTTTTGGCTTTTGTGGCTAAGATACCAAAAAAAAAAAAAAAAAAAGATAAGCGAGGTTATAAAACCCAGTAAAGATTCTCAGGAAAAGAATGCCACTACAGGTAGCCCTCGACTTACAACAGCTCATTTAGTGACCCATTCGAAGTTACTAAAAAGGGACTTATGGCTTATTTTTCACACTTATGACCGCTGCAGCATCCCCGGGGTCACCTGATCAAAATTCGGACGCTTGGCAACAGGAGGAAACCTCCCCCCCAAAAAAAAACAGAGCAGGGGGGAGGTGCTGCACAAAAAAGAAGCCACGCCTACCCAGTCACATGGCCACTCCCACCTAGCCACTCCCACCTAGCCCCACCTACAGAACTGGTAGTAAAAAATATTTGCATCCCACCCCTGGCACTAGCTAAGAAAATTGCAAGAAGGAAGACTGCAGCCAGAAAGGGGAAGGAGACACCCTCTAGCATCCTCCACCCGGAGGGTCTCCAGTACAGCAGGGAATGATGGGGATTGTAGTCCAGGTGGATATCAATGTAGGGAAGAGAGAGAAAGAAAAGGCCCGTCGGTTTCGTGGAATCTCAGAAACAAAGACATTTACCTTGTCAATATCAAGCCTTTCTGATGGGGTTTCCTCCTCATCCGTCGTGGATTCTTCCTCGAGAAAAGGGTTGGTGGAAACCGGTGGAGGACCCGGCTTTTTCTATTGGGAGAAAAAAAAACGGGAAGTTTGAGGGAAAAGGCGATCACTTAACAGATAACAGAGTTGGAAGGGACCCTGTAGGTCATCTAGTCCAACCCCCTGCCCAAGCAGGAGACCCTACACCACTTCTGACAGATCTCTTCTTGAAAGCCTCCAGTGATGAAGCTCCCACAACTTCCGAGGGCAACTTCTGTTCCATTGGTTGATTGTTCTCACTGTCAGAAAGTTTCTCCTTATTTCCAGGTTGAATCTCTCCTTGATCAGTTTCCATCCATTGTTCCTTGTCTGGCCTTCGGGGGCTTTGGAGAATAGCTTGACCCCTTCCTCCTCTCTGTGGCAGCCCCTCAAATATTGGAAGACTGCTATCATGTCTCCCCTGGTCCTTCTCTTCCCTAGACTAGCCAAGCCCAGTTCCTGCAATCATTCATCATATGTTTTAGCCTCCAGTCCCCTAATCATCCTGGTTGCTCTTCTCTGCACTTTTTCTAGAGTCTCAACATCTTTTTTATAATGTGGTGAACAAAACTGGATGCAGTACTCTAGGTGTGGTCTTACTAAGGCTTTATAGAGTGGTTTTAGTACTTCCCTTGATCTTGATTGTATCCCTCTGTTAATACAATTTAGGATTCCATTAGTTTTTTTGGCTGCTGCTGCACCCTGCTGGCTCCTATTTAGCTAAGACTAAGACTCCAAGATCCCTCTCACAGCTACTGCTATTGAGCCTGGTTTCACCCAGTGTGTATGAGCTAGCCATGTGCAGCAGCCGCCAAAAAAGAAAATACGATCCTTGGTTGTATAAACAGAGGCACAGCATCAAAATCAGGTGGAGCATTAGTACTGCTTTATAAAGCCTCAGTAAAGGAATACAGGGTCCAGTTTTGGTCTCCACATTACAAAAAGGATGTTGAGACAAGTGCAAAGAAGAGCAAGTATAAGATGATTATAGGCCTGGAGGCTAAAACATATGAAGAACAGCTGCAGGAACTGGGTTTGGCCAGTCTAGAGGAAAGAAGGACCGGGGGAATATGATAGCAGTTTTCCAATATTGGAGGGGCTGCCGTAAAGAAGAGAGGGGGGTCAATTTATTTTCCAAAGCAGCTGAAGGCAGAAGAAGAAACAACAGGTGGAAACTCATCAAGGAGAGAAGCAACCTGGAATTTAGGAGAAGCTTCCAAACAGGGAGGACAATTAACCAGTGGAACAGCTTGCCACCAGAAGTTGTGGGAGCTTCATCACTGGAAGTTTTTAAGAAGCGACCGGACAGACACCTGTCTGAAATAGTATAGGTCCGTGATGGTGAACCTATGACACGCGTGTCACAGGTGGCACGCAGAGCCATTTGTGCCGGCACGTGAGCTGCAGGCAAACTTACCTCACAGCTGATTTTTTGGCTGGTCTGAGGCCTTTTTCGGCCTCCCAAAGGCTTGAGGAAGGCTTCTGCAGGCCGAAAACTAGCTTTGTTTCGTCACTTCCTGTTTTTCCGAAAATACTGGAAGTGACAAAACGGGGCTGGTTTTCAGCCTGCAAAAGCCTTCCTCAAGCCTTTGGGAAGCCGAAAAAGGCCTCAAACTGGCTGAAAATCAGCTATGAGGCGCAGTGCAGGTATCATTTTATTTTCCTCCTCAAAAACTAAGCCCGACCACATAGTTTCATAGCGAAGCACGGGTATCCAGCTAGTAGTGGAATAGAATCATGAAAGGAGACCGAAATGAAATGTGAATGGCAAAAAATTAATATAATTTTTTTAAAAATTATTTTAAATATTTAAACTGAATTGTTGAATTGTCTCGCAGCGAGTTGGCCGTGGTGAATTGGTTGTGGTGAGTTGTCGCGCTCTGAGCTTTTGGGGGGCTCCATCGTAACATCAATCAGAATGATGTTACGTGAGAAGAAAATCCCTTTTTTTCCCACAGGGCCACTTGGCTCTGGGACCGGAAGGTGCGAACATGCAAACAGGGGAAGGGGGGAAGGATGATACACAGGGATCCCCCTCCCTCTCTAACCACAGGAGTGGGGGAAACCTACAAAAACACGGGTTCCTTTTTTTTACCGTCACCGTCTCTGTTAGCGTGGAGCCGGAGAAGCGTTTGGCCAACAGCCCTTCGAAGTTGGTCGTCCTCTGGATTGAGAAAAGTAGCAGCTTGACTTCGATCTCTCTTGCCCGGGTGCGCATGATTTTCCCCAGTTCCATCCTGCAAGGAGAAGGAGGCAAAATCTGTCACGCCAGTACAGGTAGTCCTCGACTTACGACCACAATTCAGCCTGGAATTGATGTTGCTAAAAGTGAGAAATTTGTTGAGTGAGTTGTGCCGCATTTTACGACCTTTCTTGCCACCCTTGTTCGGTGAATCGTTGCAGTTGTTAAGTTAGTCACACGGTTGTTAAGTGAATCCAGCTTCCCCACTGAGGTCGCAAAAGGGGATCATGTGATGCCGGGACATGGCAACCGTTATAAATGTGAGTCAGTTGTCAAGCACCTGAATATAAATCATGTGACATTGGCACTGCTACTGCAATGGTCATAAGTGTGAAAAATGGTTATAAGTTACTTGTTTTAGTGCCATTGTAAATTCAAACGGTCACTAAATGAACTGTTGTAAGTCGAGGACTACCTGTACTCATTCCAACATCTGGCATTCACAACGGAAATGCTGGAAAACCACACAGCCTTTTTATAAATCATCACATTGCTCGGATTTTACAGGTAGTCCTTGACTTACAACAGTTCATTTACTGACAGGTTGTCATGCCCTTGTTAGAGTCGGACTCCGAGGGAGAGGAGGAACAGCCCACAGGAAGTGGAGGTGTGGCTTCAGAGGTTGTGGAGGAGGCTGGGGAAGGGCAGAGGCCGGCTGGGCAGTCAGAGGAAGAACCAGGCCCATCCCCTCTGCATCCTAGAACACGCAGGGAGGAACAGAGAAGGAAACAACTTGGCTTATGAGAGAGGAAGTGGCCATGATCCCCTGTTGCAGCTGGGGAGAATAGTATATAAGAGAGACGGTTAAAACACAGCATTGCTAGAAGCAAAGTGTGTTTTATTTTAGGCTGAAGTTATCTTGGTTGGCATCCTTCCAACAGACTGTGCCTTGTTACCTCCTTGAAATTGGTAATTACTTATCCTGGTCTGTTGTGGAAATTCCTTCATTGTAGTTTGTTTTAGTTTTTCATTTCACCTCTATCTGCTCATTAAGTTCCGACTGTATTGCTTTCTTTTGAAGACTATTTTTAAGTATGTTTTATCTCCAACTGAGAATTATTGAACAGTAGGGCCAGGTTGGAGGTATTAAAGGACATTTATTTACCTTTTGGATTTTGTTACATTTGTGTTACACTCCGGGTTATCACACAGGTAGTCCTCAACTTACAACATAACAGAGCCTGCCCATCATGGACTCAAATCGTGACAGTTGTAAAACCGGTCACTCGTGTGATTTTAATCAAAGGCCATGGTTAAGCAAATCAATAGTTTGCTACAGGCCAGTTTTGCCTAAAACCTGAACAAAATGCTGATTTTCAGTGAAACTGTCCTAAAATATGGTCATGGGATTATGGGATGCTGCCAGCAGCCATGTATGGAGTATAGTTACTAAGCAGCGGATGTGCGGTCATGATTGTGACGCATGTGTGAGAACTTCAGAACCAGATTGCAAATCTGCAATGCCCCCTGGTAGGTCCATTGACTTAACTGCAACGATCCACTTAACGACTGTGGCAAGGAAGATCATAAAATAGGGGCAAAGCTCACTTAACAACTGTCTTATTTTGCGACATAAATTTGTGACTCCATTGTGGTCAGAAGTCAAGAACTACCTGCATAGGATTGAGCGGTAAGTCACTTGAATTGAAACTTGTGTGCGACTCTGATCGTTGGCGCCCTACAAAAAGAGAATTATTATTTTTTTTGCAATAACACAGAAAGAAGAACCTTTTGGGCTCAGCTTGTGCAATTCAGCCTTTAAAATGGGATTTGGAAGCATGACAGGGTCAAGGGTGACAATGAATTATGTGTCTCAGAGTTGGCTAGCTGTCAGGATTCCGGCAGTTACCCCCATTTAAATCATGAGTCTCAAGCCAAAACTTCAGAAGGATTTATTGGGAGTTAACATGTCGGCACTGTCTGGGTGTAGCCGACTCTGAGACACATAATTCATTGTCACCCTTGACCCTGGTTTTCCCCCATCCCTCTGGGTGTATCATAATCCATATTCTCCAATGGGACGAATCCGTAGCCCAGAATAATCAATCATGCTCTCCAGTTAGAATTTTGTGTGGCAGAAACTTCAGTCACCTAGTTACTATCTTTGAAAACATTTATGGAATGCACTTTCGATTTCCATGCTGCCACACTGCTCCCCCCTCCCTTTCTGTTGGCAACTCTAAAAAGACCATAGAAATATTTTATCGAGTTGACATTTAGCTTTTAAAATGAAAGTTTAAAAATTAAGTGCCGTTTGCACTTTTTAATGATGTGGGTGAAAAGGACCCAGGACAAAAAACACTCCTAAAAATGGGAGGAGGGTGATAGTATTTTAGAATCCCACCTTGTAATATGACAGAAATCCACCGCGATCCGTTCCGTCATGCACCACTCTCCTGGGAACATCCGGCCATATTTCTCCTCGTAGTCTACCAGCTGACGTTTGATCCAGGCGTAACGCCGGTCGATCTTGTCTAGCCAAGCCACCTGAGGGAGAACACAAAAGAGAGTTCAGCCATCTTTCTCCTCCATGTGGATATCAAGATGTACAACGCACGTCGTGAAGCGTCCATTAAGAGGGTGGGTGGGTGGGGGCATAAAGGATGCGAATCCCTCAATCCCTGAAGGAACCCCACAAAAGTGCTTTTTTTCAAAAGGCAGCTGGACTTTCTTGGTTTTTCTTTTTCCCTTGAAGACATTTTGCTTCTCATTCCTAGAAGATCCTTCAGTTCTGTCTCTTAACTCCAATTAAGTAGTTCCAGCTCCAATTAAGGCAGGTGTAATTTTCTTTTCAGCATCCATCAAAATGAGAAAGAAGAGCTTTTGTGAACAGCAGGAAAACACAGGGCCTCTGCCAAGACCGAAAGGATTTCTGAATCTCTTTCGAAGTGCGTGTCCGGCCAAAAGGAATCGCAGAGTCCAACTCACGTCTTGGTTTTCCTGGAAAAGCACCAGATACTCCGAGAGGTGCTGCTTTATAAACTTCTTGATGATTTCCTGCTTGATCCGGGGATCTAAGACGTTGGCGACCAAACAGGCATCACGGAGAACGTTGCTCGGACCGGCTGATCTCTGCTGAGAACAAAGAAACCCAGAGAATTAAGCTGGCCAGGTCTTTTGCTGCCCTTGGGAGTTCTAGTCCTGCTTTAGGCACGAAAGCCAGCTGGGTGACTTTGGAGAGAAAAAAACACCAGGAGATGGTGAGTTCTAGTCCTGCATTAAGTATGAAAGTGACTGGGCGACTTTGGGCCAATCACCAAGAGATGGTGAGTTCTAGACCCGCATTAGGCACAAAAGCCAGCTGGGTGACTTTGAGACAATCACCGGGAGATGGTGAGTTCTAGTCCCACCTTAGGCTCAAGAGCCACCTGGG